TATATACATTTTCGTATATATGAAACTAGATATCTATAAAGATTTATATTATGCACACACGCATGCATCTATCTATCTATTTATATATACATACATAATGCATATTTATGAACAAATATAAACACAGTTATGTAAATGTTCCAGTCTTGCTTGTTATCTATAATTAACAATTATTTTCCAACAATCGCGAACAGCAGCGCTATGGATCATGAATATTTCTTTGGTGATGACACGGTAACAGGTACAGCGAATTTCATGAAACGAAAATAAAGCTTAGAATTGCTTTAAACACCACTGCCTCTATTTTTCCGGTTATTTCTCTGGAGGATGAAAGAACGGTTCAAAACTTCAGGCTTTGTTTGGGGGGGGAGGAGGGTAAATCCCTCGTAGGTGAGCAGAAGAGAACATAGAAAAAATAGCACTCTGTTAGGTTATTATTATAGGTGCAGAAGAATAGAAGTGTTAAAAGACAGAAACAAACACACTTTTAAAACGGGAGGAGAGATAAGAATGATTTAAGTTTGAAAGGAAAGAGGGAGCAAGTCATATTATCAGAGCACCTGCCAACCATCCACCACGACGGGTAATATAGGAAAATAATTATTCTGTGTATATGAAATTGGCAGTACGTTCGGGTAAAAAGAAACTTATTATTCTGTATTCTGAACATGATACACGAAAAGAACAGAAAATACAAATTCTATGAGGGACAAAGGGATGGGATTTGGAGGTCAATAGGAGTAACGCTACCATCAAGATAGCAGCTTGCGTAACATGGAGTCAGCTTGTACCTTTCATGAAAGGCATAGTAAAGGGCTGTGTCTGTTACATTATCATGGTAACAATTCGGGGTTTTTTCCCCGGCCCATCTCGCCCAATTTTCTTTTTTCTCCCTAAGCCCTGTTTAATGCACGGTCCTAACAGACATGAATAAAAACGTTGAATAAATGAGGGCTCTTCTGCAATGTGCAGCTATCGATGACGATTATTAGCCTTCCCCATGAGCTATGTTTAGCTCAAAGCCTAGCTGTAATTCCACTCAATCTGGGTTGTCTATATATATGAAATAAAACGTTAGTGCCGATCTTGCTCATACATATTTCATTGCAGACAAAATATTTTTATTTTCGAGTCTAATATTTCTCTCTCTTATAAAGAAAAACGTTGTGACAATACGATTTCGAAAAATAGTTCAATAAGGGAAGCATAGGATACATCAATGAATAGGAGGGCAGTTTATTGTTCTTCTGAGTATATGCACCTTTCTTTTTTAAAATAATGACGATCGAACTGCGTGTTCTGTCTGCTCTCTCTCGAGTTAACGTTAACAGAATAATATTGTATCTTCGTAGTCTCTCTCTCTCTCTCTTTCTCTCTCTCTCTCTCTCTCTCTCTCTCTCTCTCTCTGTGTCTCTCTCTCTCCCCCCTCTCTCTTTCTTCCTGCAGCTCCCTTTCCCTTCCTCTATCTGTATTTCAGTCGCCT